TCTTTTAAAGAAGGATATATAAAAGTATTATAAGTAAATACTTAGGTATTAGAATAACTTCTTTATAATAGATAAGTATATAAAAAAGACTAACTTTACTACCTAAGGTAAGCCTTATATATATCTATCTAATAAAGACCTTTATAGTTATATAGATATTAACTATAAGTAGATAGATAGTAACTATATATTTATAGACTTATAAAGACTATTATATATAGAAAGGGTATAAAAGGATAATATAGATTAGTTAGAGCTAGATTAGCTAGAATTAGATAAGATAGATAATAATATTAGCTTTTAACTAGTATAGTTAATCTTTATTCTTTTATTAAATACTTATATTAGTATAATAATATAGTTATTACTTATAGTTTTATAGTAAGATTTATAACTAGTTAAGGCTTTAAGGACTAACCTTTATTAGTAATAAGAGCCCCTCTTTCTATAGGTATTACTATTTACTTAGTACTAAATAATAGTATATATATAATAATAATAAAGTATATATTATAGCTTAAACTATTATTCTTATACTAATAAAGGTAATTAGTAGTATCCTCTTAATAGGTTACTTACTTACTAAGATATATAAAGGATAATATATATTAAAAGTAGGATAAAAGGCTATCCCTAAAGGTAAAAGACTAATTTAATAAAATCTACTTTTTAGTACTACTATATAGGGTATAGTAAAAGTAAGGCTACTTATCTACATTATTAAATACTTAAGACTCTTTTAAGAAAGTATAGATAGAGTTAATAGCCTAAAAAGATTTAATATACTTAATATTAATATTCTTATCTATATTTAATAGAAGCTAGTTTATATTATACTAAGAGTAGTATATTATAAAGATATAAATACTATATACCTAAGATACCTTAATATTAAATTTATACTTTATAATATAAAGGTATACTATATTATAATTATAATTAATATCTTAATATAATTCTATACCTAGTAATATAAGTATTCTATTAGGCTTACCTACCTATATAGTTAGGATAGATAGTATATATATAATAGGAGGGGGTAGTAACTTATTATCTTTATTATCTATCTTAGGTACTACTATAGCTAGCCTAGCTACCTAAGCCTTTATTAAGTATATAAGCTAATAGGTATAACCTTTCTTTATATCTATAGCTTAATAGATAGTATAAACTAAATAGGATATAGCCTAAGATAGTTATAAAGGTTAATACTTCCTACTATAATAACTATAAGGTATTTTTAATACCTAGTATAGTAGCTACTAATAAAGTAGATAGTACTAGTAGTATAACTATATAGTTACTAGTAGGTAGAGAAGTAGGTATAATAGTATAGTTATTAGTAGGTAAAGAAATAGCTAGAGGTATAGCTATATAGTTAATAGTAGGTAAAGGAATAGCTAGATATATATTAGTATAGTTAATAGTAATATATTATATAGAATATATCTTAATAACTATAGAAAAGGGGTATTACTACCCCCTTTTAAAAGAGAAATTAGGCTATTAAGTAGTAGATACTATAATAAGCTTTTTTTAATATTATAGATAGGGTCTTAAAAGAGCCTATTATAATAAAAAGCTAGAGTACTACCTCTACTATATCTATAATAACGCCTATTACCTATAGGCGCCCTACTATACTAGACTTAGGTTAGTCTATATAGGGGCCCTATATACACAGTTTATACGCCTTATTATCATAATACCCCTATTCCTAGACACTAGGATACTAGAAAACTATAGCTATAGTATTATATAAGGCTTATAAGTATAAGAAGATAAAGTATTAGAATTTACTTAATAACCTAATAAAAGAAAAAGGCTCTTATATATTAACTTCTTATTTATTAACTATACTAGCTATACTAAGTAAGCCTTTACTAGTAAACCTTAAGCTTATAAAGCTTTATTATATATAAATACTAAAGAATAATATAAATCCTATATTTATATAGTATAATAAAGTTAATTTAAAAACCTTATATAATATAGTAAGTAAGTTAATAAAGCTACTTAACCTATTAAATACTAAATTCTAACTATTATTAAAAGTTCTTATTATATAGTAGGTATTATACTTAAATTAGAATATCCTACCTATAATAATATATTTTAAATAGTATATATTAAATATATAATAATTATATACTTTTAACTATAAAAATACTAATAATTTACTAATAACTAAATATAATATATTAAAGTTAAAAATACTTATATAGATAGTAGTTATTATAATAGTTTATAGTATAAATAAAGCTTATATTATAAAATAGTATTTAAAGAATAAGAATCTTAAGAAAATACTTATAAGAATTAAGCTTTATATAATTAAGTTTAATATAATATTAAAGATAAAGAAATAAGTAAAAGATTATATAATAAAATTAATAATAAAGCTTATAATACTTTATAATAAAAAAAGAAAATAATAAAATAATAAAATATAAAAAATAAAGTTAATTAATATAAAATAGTAAAGGCTAAAGATTATTAAAAATATTAAGTAAGTTAAGTTAGTAATTATATATAGTAAATAAGATTAATATTATTAATAAATTATAAGTATATATAGTTAAGATATATAGAATTATAAATACCTTAAAAAAGAATAATAAGATAATATACTAAGAACTTACCTACCTAAAGGACTTAGTTAGTAGAATAAATATTACCTTAGTAAAGTTATACTAAGATATTAAATAGTTTATAATACTACTATCTACCTTTATTAAGGTAGTATACCTAGAAGGTAATACTAAGCTATTTAAAAGCTATATAAAAGAGTTAATATATATTATAAAAGAGATAGCTATTATAGTAAGGAATTAACTCTAAAGACCTTATTTAGGTTAGAAGATAGTAAAGGCTATAAAGAATTAGATTAATAAAGTTATAGCTTATATCCTTATAAATAAACTTAATATAGTCTTATATAGTATTAATTTTATATACTAAATAATAAAAATAAATATAACTATTATATAATAAGAAGTTATATTTATATAAATATATATTAATATATTAATAGTTATATAGAAGTTTAATAAATACCTATTTAATACTATCTTTATATTTAAATATAAGCTTTTTAATATATAGTATATAAACTATTTAATTATTATTATTATATTAAAGATTATATATAAATAAAAAAAAAAAAAAAAATAGTTAATAGTATTAGTATATAACCTATAGAATAGACCTATATAGCCTTTAGTATATTCTACTACTTTAGTATAGTAAATTATACCTTAAATATCTTTATAATAAAAAGCCTAAAAAGCTATATATATTAATAAGTAAAGTATATATTTATATAATAATTAATACTAAAGCTAGAATTTAATAATAACCTTATATAATATATAATAATAAAAAAGACTAAAGATATAATAAATATAGTATTCTTTATAATTAAGATAAGTATAGCTATTAAAGTAACTAAAGTAATAATTAAAATAGTAAAGTTAAAGTTAAAGCCTAAATAAAAGCTTATACTATAGTAGCTAAAGCTAGTTAAGTTAATTTAAGACTAGAAGTAATATATATTTAGAATAGATAAAGGCTAGTTTATTAATCTTAAAAATAGTTAGTTTATTAATCCTATAAATATAGGTATATTAGGCTTAGTATTAATTAAGCTATATATAAAAGAATTTAAGTAAAATATAAAGATATTAAAGTTAGTTAATAATATAGATAAGGATAATATAGATAAGGATAAAATAGATAAGGTAAATAGGATAGAAGTATAAGGATTCTTTAGGTTATTTCTTTTTTTTTTTTTTTTATTAAAATAATACTTTTTTTTTATTATAAGACTTATATATACCTATAATTTAGCTTTATTTAGAAAGAATTATTATTAACCTCTTTATATATAGTAAAGTATAATTAGTTTCTATTTATATATAGGGTAAGATTATTTAGTATTATTTAATAGTAAGGTTACTACTATAGGTAATAAGGTATATTATTATATATATATATATATATAAGCACTACTTAGGGTATAAGCCACCTACTTAGCCTAGAGAATATATCATCATCTTGCCAAAAACTCTTGTGCCCAACAAATACGGTACGTACATAGGTAGGTAGGTAACTACCTTGGTACTAGGTTCCTATCTACAGGTAGGTAGGAGGTACCCAGTTACGGAGATCAATCGCATCGTAAGATGACTCGTGCGCGGAGTCACTGCGCCTGCCAATGCAACAGGAGGAAACATTTTATAGATATGGAGTGATGAACCTGCCCAATACCCGACATCATGATATCGATCCGTTTCAGAATGTCCATGGAACACAAAAAAAAGTAGGCACAGAAGCGGTGCGTGTCCCCGTTATCCGCGGCCTGTTATAGCTGCCATTTATAATTTAGTAGCGGCTTGACAATTTACCCCAAGTTGGCCAAGCCTTGCGGATTCAGCAGACCAGGAAAAGTCGTACGTGCAGTACAAATTACTTGTACTTACTCCGTACAAATCACAGCGCGGTACAGCGCGGCACAGCAGAACAGCGACACTCGCTCGGTTCCCCCAAGGTACCAGATACTACGAGCCACACCAAGAACACCGCCCACAGCACCATCCATCAAGTATCGAGTACTCCAAACCGCGCTCCTCACTTCAGCTCCCCCCACCGACAAACCACCTGCCAGCTGCCAGCTGCCAGACTCAACTCCGCTCCCCTCAAACCACCATCCTATGCCTAATGCGCCGCGGCTGACCTCTTTTCCTCTGCAACATCACCACGGAACTTCCAATCATCGTTTCCCTCTCGGCCCTGCAAGCTACCGCCATCCATTCTCCGTTGGTGCCCTATTTGACTCTTCTCTCTTGTCTCCCACCGTTGTTTCCCGCGCGACCGGTCGCTGCGGACCCCATTTATACTCGGCTTCGACGAACCCTGCGTCTGCCATCACGGGCCGCCCGTCTAGCCCCCCTCCTCCCAGCAGACTTCTTCCTCGTACACGCTTTCCGTACTTCTTCGACATGGCTGGTTCTGTCGACAATGGCCACGCCGACGGCAGTCCCGTCGACGACATGGCCGCCCACGGCAGTCCCACCGACAATGCGCCCGGTGACAATGCCCCCGACAACTCCGCCGTCCCCAAACCCAAGCGGCTTGCCTGCATGATTTGCCGCAAGCGCAAGCTCAAGTGCGACGGCTTGCGACCCAGCTGCAGCACTTGCTCCCGCCTCGGCCACTCGTGCGCGTACGATGAGCAGAGACGCAAGAGCGGCCCCAAGCGAGGCTACGTCAAGGCCCTCGAAGAACGACTAAGTCCGTCCCACGCACGCCCCGCGACACGACCCAATCAATGCTAACCGTTCGGTATAGAGCAAGTTGAGACACTATTAAAAACACAAGAACCGTCACAACCGTCGCACTCTTCCAATGTTCCCAAGATGCCGGCCGCGGCGCCCCAACCGCCAATGACCGTTGACCCAGAAAACGACCGTTGGAACTATAGCGCCGACTCCCCGCGCGCCGTCCCTGGCGACGATTTCAACTTCAATTCGAATATCAACATGCCCGTCAACCCCGACGACAGCAGCTTTAGCTGGGAAATGATTGGCCTCGGCTTGGAAGAGCCCCTGCCTGCCCAGGAAGCCATCGACGAGCTTCATCAAATCTATTTTGAAAAGATCCACCCCTCAATGCCCATGATCCACCGCTTTCGCTACCTCGCTGCCATGAATTTGTAGGTTCTGGACTTGGCAATGTACTGTGCGCATACTGACCAGAGTAGGGCACCAAACCAACGACCACCCGTCTGCCTCCGATATGCCATGTGGACAATGGCCAGTTCCATCACAGACAAGTATTCGGACTTGAAGCATCTCTTCTATGCCCGCGCCCGCAAGTATGTCGAGGCCGACTACGTCAAAGGTTTTGGCGAGCACATGATTTCAGTAGCCCACTGTCAAGCACATATCCTACTGGCCTGCTACGAAATGAAAATGATGTACTTTCCCCGTGCGTGGATCAACACAGGCGCCGCTGTCCGTTTGGCGCAAATGTACGTACATGACAATCCCTCCTTTCTACTTTGTTCTGACCAAACAGGATCGGGCTGCATCGACTCGACGGCGCAGGCTTGGACGTGAAACAGTGTCTTCCCCCACCGAAAGACTGGACAGAGCGCGAAGAGCGACGGCGAACTTTCTGGATGGCGTTTTGTGAGGACAGATATGCGAGCATCGGCACCGGGTGGCCCATGACGATTGACGAACGTGATATCCTCACCAAGCTCCCTGCCTCGGAGGAGGCCTTTGAGATGAGTCGGCCCGAGCAAACACAGACCCTCGACGAGTGCACCACGCCCAGCGGCGCCGCCAAGCTCTCCTCTTTCGGCGCCATTGTTCTTTTGGCGGCCATTTTTGGCCGCAATCTGGTGCACCTGCACAGACCCGACAGCGACGAGTTTGACGGCGATGTCAACGGCCCGTTTTGGAAGCGCCACCGCGAAATGGACAATATCCTTCTCAACACATCACTCGGCTTGCCGTCCCATCTCAAGCTGCCAGCAGGCCTATCCAACCCCAACATCGTCTTTATGAACATGTCCATTCACACTTCGACGATTTGCCTGCATCAGGCCGCTATATTCAAAGCCGAGACGCACAAGCTCCCGGCATCCCTCAGTTCTGAAAGCAAAGTGCGCTGCATAACGGCGGCCAACGAAATTGCTGGCGTCATGCGAACCGTTTCCCACATGGATCTAACAGCTGTACGTTGCACTGTCCTTCTTTCCATCATTTGTCGCTAACTAAATCTAGATGAACCCCTTCATCTCCTTTACTCTCTACGTGGCCGCCCGCGTATTCGTGCAATATCTCAAAAGCCGTCCCGACGACGATGTAACCGCAGACGCTCTCCGTTTCCTACTATCCGCCATGAACGCGCTCAAGAAGCGCAACCCCCTTACCGAATCGTTCCTGGTCCAACTTGACGTCGACTTTGAGGCGCTCGCCTCTAGAATACCCAAGTTGAAGAACGCATTCCCACGGAACGGTGACAGCGTAAGTATCTCCATCCGCGCCACCATGCACAGAGCTAACTTGCCCTCCCAGCCTGAACAGAATGGAGATGAATCGCCCCGTGTGTTGTGCGATGACCCTGAAAACGTCAAGGGGATTCTATCCTATCGAGATTGCGACTACAAGGACGACCATGCGAAGCCGCCGCCCGTCTCCGAGCCGTCGGGTATGGGTCTGCCCGGCAACGCAGCTTTTGGTGGACAGTCGTGGCTCTCGGTCGACCAGCAAATGCCCATGCTGACGCCCAACTCGGGCAGCATGTACGACAAGACGGGCAACGGCAGCGGGCACATTTCCAGCTTTGGCGATGTTAATGGCGAAAGTACCGAGTCGCCCGACGGCCAGTCCACCGACCGGACGCCAAACTCGAGTGCTGCCTCGGATGGACGCACGGTCAAGCCGGTTGGTCCTACGGCACACTTGTTTGCCTCGGCCTCGCCGCAGTTCCCCAGCACTGGCGCGCACTTTTTCAGCCCCGCGCAGCAACCGTATCAGCTTCATCAGCAGCAGCAGCAGCAGCAGCAGCAACAGCAGCAGCAGCTAGGCCAGGCCATGGCGTACGGCACTGGATGGGATAATATGAATGCGGCGGCGCAGCAGGCAGCCAACATGCAAAACGAGGGCGTCTTGCGCGCGTTGATGAATATGGGACCCATGGAGGCAATGGATCTGTCGTCCTGGGATACAGGCAATGAGCCAATGCGGGGATAAAATGGTGGTGCACACAAAAAAGAATCTATATAGCCGGACATGTTGACGACATTTTTCTCTCTTGATGATTATGACTGTGGCGTTGGGTTCTTTTACTTTTTGGTCGGACGTTGTTTTTTCAAGTACTGGAGGTGTATATTATATGCGTTTTACTAAGATGCCTGGTTGGGATGGGTTATTTTGGACAATCGGCAAAACTCTACATGATGATTATCTAGCGAATTTTGAAGGACGAATATTAATGGCAGAGGACTCTCGCTTCCGCGGTTATCGTTGTGTGTGTCTAAGAAGAGAAGTCGATGACACTCGGAGCGTATTACTTTGTCGACGTCTCCCAGTATTATGGGCTCACAGTAGACCGTGCACATCGACGCTACCGGCTACGATCAGGCTTGTCAGTCACGCTGTGCCTATTTTCTTCGTCCCCTTTTTTTCCTTTCTTTTTCTTTTTCTTTCCCATCAACCATTTTCGTGGCGCATTGGTTGTGCCATTGTGTGTGCAATTGGCCGGCCGGCTTGACCCGCCCGGACCGGGCCGTCCGGTGGCGGTGCTAGGAGATAATGAACAAGACACAGCGCCAGGTGACGACGGTACTGTGTCACCCGTGCAGTTGCAGCCTGCCGTACTTGTGCAAGCTCTGTAAAAGCCCCCAGCCTCTGGGGAAAGACTGCGAGTTGCATTTGGAACCCCACGGCCTGGCAACAAGACCAAGGTGTGAGTGAGATAGGGCGCAGGCTGGGGCTCACCCTCTTTCGGCGTTATATCATACTGGTACTATAATCGCGGATCCGCAGTCGCTGACCGAAGCAACATGCCAGACTCGGTTTATCCGTGTACCAATGGGCCACCTACCGCCACCCGGACCGCTACGCGACGAGAGGCCCTGAGAAGACAACAAGGACGTCTTCAGGCCGTTTGTCGCTGGGCCACTTCCTGTACCAGTTTGACTATGAGCTGGTGCCGGGCCAGGAAGGGCGGAGCAGGGCGTCTTTTTGTGTGGGAAAGGGGAGTGTTGGAGGTTGTCTGGAAGAGGGGTCGGATCAACGTAGGGGGTGCGTCTGAGGGTTGAGACACGGATTGTCCATGATGATGACGAGAAACCACCTGGACTTGCCTTGGGATTTGTGCTCCAAGCTGCAGAGCGACATCCACCACGACGGCGAGCAGCAAGCATGTATCCCGGGCAATCGGGCTAGAGGTAAAGCCGAAATACCCTCTGCGGGTTGTGCATTATCGCCGTCTAGGTAGCAGGGGGGCTGGCGTGGCTCCGGCCGTCGTGGTGTGTGAATCTCTCGATTTATAATGCCCAGGTGGCAGGTTTCTCTACATATTGCAGCCTTTTTTTTTATTTGCTTAATAATTAACTAGCAACAAGGCACAGTGGCCGGCGTCAGACAAGACGACTACCTATTCCCGAACACGAGCGGGACACGCTAATCCTTGGAGAATACGAAATCGACGGGCGGTTCGGCCTGCCGATCCGGTAAAAGCGGGCGGCCGAGGCAAAGTCCGGGCGGCCTTGCAGCTTCCCTCTGACATGGAGGGAGGATGTCGACAACTTGACAAGGAAGAAAATAAAATAAAATAAAAGGATTGCTCCCTTTCCCTCATTCCTGTCGTATTTGTTTATTACGAAGCTGATTATTAACCTTTGTCACCCTCCCTGCTCCTCGACCTCCACCTCGTCCCGAAGGTCCCGGAGCCAAAAAACCCCACCAGCAAGCCTCCCCGGAAACACTTGCGCCGCTGTGACCGCCACTCCTTTTCCCAATCATCCTCTTTTCCTACCTCCTCTCTTCTTGCCACCAACCCATCTCCTAGTTACAACTGCTTTTGTCCTCTTACTCTGTTTTCCAACCAGTCCCGTCCTCTTTCCTCGCCACTACTTCTCCAGCCTTGGGCCGCAAACACAGCCCACCATGCCGCGCCGCCGCGACGTCACCAACGACCATGTCGGCGTGCAAGTCGAGCTCGAACCCTTTCACGACGACGCCTCCTCCTCCTCCTCTTCACTCACCTCGACCGACCACCCCGACTCGCCGCTGCTCGAAGCCTCCTCCGCACATGCCTCTGCCGTCCCGAAATGGCTCTCGCCACCGCCCTACGCCTCCCGCCGGGGCGCCGCCGCCCGCCATCTGCTGCGCGTCGCGCAGCTGCTCCGCCCGCGGCGCTCCTGGCGCTCCCTCGTCTTCCACCTGGTCGCGCTCTACGCCCTCGTCTGCGTGCTGCGCGGGCAGCCCCTGCTCGCGTCCAGCCTTCCCGCGCAGCACGCCGGGCCGTACGACGTCGGCACCGTCGACATCGAGGTGCCCGTCGCCGCGCCGCGCACGCTCTCCGCCACGGCGCTGCGCGCCTCCGGCCAGCCCGCCTACGTGCTCGAGTCGGTCCTGTTTAGCCTGTACTACCCCGTCGCGCGCGGCGCGCCGGCCGCCGCGCCGCCGCATCTCTGGATCCCGCGGCCCGTGTCCCTCACCGCGGCCGGGTTTGCGCGGCTCGCCCACGCCGACTTCTTCTTCGTCCGCCCGCTCCTGACGTTTCTCCTCTGGGGCCGTCGCCGGGCGCATCGAGATTCCGGCCAAGGTCGACGCCCCGCTGCTGCCGCCGCTGACAGGCAGCAACAGCAGCAGCTTCCCGCTCGTCGTCTTCTCCCACGGCATGGCCTCGTCCCGCACCGACTACACGGCGTACCTCGGCGGGCTCGCGGCGCGCGGCCACGTCGTCGCCGCGCTCGAGCACCGCGACGGCAGCGGCCCCGGGTCCCGCGTGCAGATCAAGGGCCGGCCGGACCGCGACGTGCTGCACTTTGACGCGCGCCACGTGC